ACAAATCCAGTTCAAATTCCTCCAGCAATATTAGAGCTCAGTATGTGAAACAGCAGTTGTTTATCCATAGATGCTACTGGTCGATGGAGTCAAAGGCAGATGAGAGATCAACACATGTGACATGTAGCTTTTTGGTGGGTCACTAATGTAATTCAGAATATAATCATTCAACAGCAATAAATTGTGCTATGTTTGTTGTTAAAACCAGCCTGCACTGGGGACAGAACTGGCTTCTCAGTAAAAGACAGGTATGTCTGTCCATCTGTATTAATGGAGCTAAACTATTGTCCTTCAAATTCAGGAACTGGTTGGCTCCAACTCCCATCAGTCCCAGCCAGAAGTTGTAGACCAGCAATATCTAAAGGGCACCATATTGACTACCCTTGTTATACTTCACCAAGTACCAGAATAGTACATAATGCTTCATTTACAAGGAACTTCAGTTATTACACACACACCTCTCCCAGAAATAATATCCCCCTTTCATTAAAAATAAACCCATTATTTTTAACAGTCTCTCAACATTTCCTCAGAATTATGCATGCTTGTTATTTCACTGGCATATACCTTCAGCTGAGAGAATGCAGCAAGAAAGTTCAAATTCTCATCTATGATGTTAGGTGAACTGCTTTGGTGTAAGGAAAAGTGAAACTGTCAGGTATACTGCTCAATGGAGAGAGCTAATCATTGCTGAGATCATCTGAAAGGTCATCAGTGCCTCCTTAGAAAAAGAGAATAAAAGTGAGGAGGTATTAGTATAACAAAGCTGAATAGAATTGATCAAGGCTTCTAGTTGATAGGAATTAAGACATGCCACCAAATGTATGTATAGTTAAAGAGGAAAAGCTTCTCTTTTTTTAGTACTGCCCATAAATTTGAGAACTGTGACTGCCTTGTGGGACATAATGGAAGTAGATAAAAACAGAATTCTTTTGTTTGATTTTTTTGGAAGGTTTTCAGATGCTGTAAATCAAAATTAAATCCATAACTTGCCCACATACTGTACTTAGGTCCTTCATACCGAAGCAAAAAGGTGCAAACATCTGTAGTGGCACAAATTGTTCTAGGTGATCTCTCTATATAACTGTCACAAACAGGGAAGAACCAGCAAGCAAGAGTTCTGCATGCTGTACTTAGTTACGGGTCAACAGAGCTGGGAACAGTCTGGGCTAGGGCTGCAAGAAGGCATCAGTTTCCACTCTGACCTGAATTCGTCACAATCAGCACTGTTTCCATTCTGCTGCAGCTTGGTTTCTGTGAAATGCTATACAGTGGTACCTCAGGTTAAATACTTAATTCCTTCCGGAGGTCCGTTCTTAACCTGAAACTGTTCTTAACCTGAAGCACCACTTTAGCTAATGGGGCCTCCTGCTGCTGCCGCGCTGCCGGAGCACGATTTCTGTTCTCATCCTGAAGCAAAGTTCTTAACCTGAGGTAATATTTCTGGGTTAGCAGAGTCTGTAACCTGAAGCGTATGTAACCTGAAGCGTATGTAACCCGAGGTACCACTGTATTATTTATCTCGTTTGCCACTATTTAATATACATTACATAAGTAACTGACATGAATCTCATTGGAACGGAAATGTCAGAATAATCTTTAAATAGTCATTGATTGCATATCTCTTGCAGACTTAAACACAACAACAACAACTGAGTGACACAATACCAATGCTATTTGCTTGACTAATGTCCATCCCTGACTATAGCTGAACACATGGACTGCAGTGATTCCCATTTCCTTTTCTCTTTTCATTGGAATTATCCAGCATCCCTAGTTTGGATAAGGTGGGCGCTTTCTTGGCTGGTAGGCTACCTGCCAGCAGTAAACAGTGGAATTGCCTGAAAGAGGATGAGGGAGGTGGGGTGGGTGGGGAGATGCTGAACTGGCCTGGTATCTGTTGGACTCTAACATGGTCCCCCTGCTTTTGTGTGGCAACCACATCCTAGAACGGGGATAGTGATTGGGCCCAATCCTTCCACTACACTCCCTGTGAGTGGTTGGGCTGTGGGTGTACCAGTGCTCCTGCCACTCCACCAAGCCACACCCAGTGGGGGGGGGGAGATTAGGGTTGTGTTTTAAGTTACAACATGGAAACTAGGCAGCTGTGCCAAAGGCTTCACAGACAAAAGTGAGGTTAGAAAGCGTAGCGTATTTCCACCTTAAATTCTGTCAAATGTAATGCAGCACTCATCCACCTTTAGAATGCACTTTTAAGCCCTTTTCGCATGTCCAGTGGACACATGGAGGGAGGAAACAGGGTCACACTGTTGACGTGTTGATCTGGTGGTGTGTACACAGGTACACGTTTAATGTTCTCTTTGCATGATCAGAAACCTGGGGAAAGGCAAGGTCATAGGAATAGAGGATGCTGATAATCCCTCTGGAGGTTTTCAGACAGGGGTCCCTCCCGGCCCTATCTAGAGATTCTGAAGACTCAGCCTGGGACTTTCTGCTTGCCATGCAGAAGTTCTATCATGGATCTACAGTAAGGTTACCAGATTTTTTTCAAGGAATCCGGGGACACTTTTTTCTTTTCTTTTTTTGAAAAGAGGAAAAAACAGCTATTAAAAAACAAACAAATAAGTAATATCTTCTCTTCTGTGGTCTCCTCTGTTGCACGGCCTTTCTCTGGGCCCTGACTTGCTCTCTTGGAGTGCTAGCCGCCATGGAGTAGGCTCGGGTCAGGCCTGGGCTTGGCCTCATGTCCTTGCCCTCCTCCCGGTACTCTTCTACCTCTCCTCCTCAGTGGCAGCAGCGGCGTGGCAAGGTCAGGACTCCCCTGTTTTTCCTCCTTCCTCTTTCTCTCTCCCTCCTTCTCCTTCTCCTCTTCCCCTTCTCCCTGTGTCGGCTCCGGGGTTTTCCTTGCCCCGTAGCACCGTTGGGCAGTCAGCCGGGTGACCAGGTACTCTTGCTCCTGGCTTGATTTGGGCCGCGGGGGGATGTGCGTGTCAGCAGTTCCCCCAGTTTACGTGCCAGGTGTCCCCGGTTCCCCCTCAGCAGTGGTGGCGGCAGCAGACGTTTCAGCAGCCCGCAGCCAGCCTGGTAGCACAGTTGGCTCTGGCTGGGTTCAGGAGCTGCTCGCTGCCTTGGTGCCTGCCAGTTTGCCTCACCGGAAGTCCCCATATGATGTGTCTTGTGCCGTTGAACCAATCATACAACATTCATTCCCTACTAATAAATCTACAACACTTAAAATATAAATCCGGGCACATTAAATGAAATCCGGGGACATTCCGGGGACGGATTTTGTCTAGGGGCAGATTTGGAAATCTGGGGACAGTCCCTGGGAAATGGGGACGTCTAGTAACCAGAATCTACAGCCCCATCTCCCATCTCCAATCAAACATTCAGAGTCGCCTAGAGTGGCTGGGGAAACCCAGCCAGATGGGAGGGGGAATAATTAATAAATTATTAGTATAGAGCATATGTACACATAGGCTATGTTCAAATCTTTGGTTTAACATATGTTGCATAGAGAATGGAGGCAGAGTCAATGGTCACAATCCAGCTCCTCCCTTAAGCATGAATGTTCTCCGAACAGGGCTTTTCTATGTATCACAGGAGACCTCCACTTTTCCTATATGCTCAAATCAACAGACCCCCTAAATATTTTTGCTTGTTCTAGCATATTTCCGTCAAGTCGTCACTTTATAACCTGGGCTACTGGCAAAGACCTTTCTTTATTATCATGAAGAAATGAGTGTTTGAAATACTAATTTGAAAATCTCATTTTTAGATTATTTCTCTCAGAGTGTTGTTGGGATGTGTGTGTTGTGTGTGTGTGTGTGTGTGTGTGTGTGTGTGTGTGCAGGTGGGAGGGTGTTGAGTGAAGTTTTGGATTGATCAAACATGCCTCTCTTTTGAAATCAATAAGGTGCTTGGGACTCCTTGCTGAAAAGTGTCGCCTTGTAATGGCCAATTTCAGAAGCAGGTGTGCTGCTAATGGCACAGCGCTTGTTTGTGAGAGAGAGGAAGAAAGATTATTAATTTGCAAGGCATGAGCATCTTTCTGGCACTCAAAGAAAGTTGCTGAACTTGGGCAGGGGAGTGGCTGCTTGTGGAATGACAGCGAAGGGGGATAGAATCTGGTTTCTTCTACATAAAGGGAGAGGGGAGGCATCGCACGCTCTGTTGGATCTTCCCTTTTATACTCTCCAGTTTCTGATCTACCTCCCACATAACATCATTTTGTTTAAAGTGCATTGTACCTTCATTTTTGAAATATCAAGTGACTAACAAGCAGGGCTATCGCACATGCATCCATCAGCAGGTTTATCAAGCCTGAAATTAAAAGCCAATACAGAAGAAATCTGTAGGACTAGACTTTTCTTTTGTATTTGTAAACAATTATTTAGGCCTATCTAAGAGTGACGCAGGGACATTTCAATCAGGAGCTAGTTTTCACCCTCTCTGTTAATTAAATTAACCAAGAAGTTGTTTTACCTGTCTTTGCAAAAACGGTCTCCCCCTCCAGTGAGAGGTTATGAGGCAGAGCAGAGGTACACTTGGCAAGCCTAGTTCTTTCCAATACAACACTTTTCACCTTTCCTGATCTTTAGGACCCTCCACAAGATGGAGCCTGGGTGACTGTTTGAAGTGGGGCGTCTCTTGTACCCATGGAGCCTGCTGATACAATTTAGGATGCTCTGGAAATGCTATTATTTTAAAAATCCACTCAACCAAATATCGTAATCTAAAAGGCCTGGCAAAAAACCTTTATGAATAGTTTTAAATTGGCATCCGAAAATACTTTATATACTCCCTCATCCAGCAGAGGGAAACAACTGTGGGACTCAAAAAGAACCATTCAGTGGGGGGCTGCCATGGCTGCCCCCTCCACGGCCCCACTTCAGTTACCTGAGGAACCCACCTTACTCTGCCTAACAGCGAGGCCAAACCCTGATGTGACCATTGGGAAACAAAATTATGTGTGTAACAGAACTCAGGGTCTATGGGGTATGCAAGGCAATGCCAGAATGACCCAGAATCCTTAAATAAGGGCATGGGTGAGTAATTTATCTACAGCCAAATATATTATACAAGTTAAGGTCCTTTCTTCATCATTGCTGTAGTTGCTGTATCTCCCACCTATGACCTCCCTGCAGTTAGTCCCAACCATTGCCTTCCAGTGTATGGGCTATTGAAGCACTTTGAGCAGAACCAAAACCAGCAAGGATGTCCCTATTAACAGTTTTCGTGCCCATCCAAATGCTGCTGTCAAGAGACCATACAGAACCTCTCTTTATGATCTTCCTCTGGGTTATGCTAAGGAAGCAGCTGAGGAAGTCTCTCTCCTCCTTGTATGACAACTGCTTGTGCAATGGAACTTGCCCCTGCACTCCCACCAAATTTGCTCTTTGGTGTTCCCCAAAGCATCAAAGGAATATTTGGGGGGTCCATTGGGGAGAAAAGGAGGGGAGTTCCATTGCAAAAGTGGAAGTGGTCTGCTCCTCCCGCAACTCACCTTCCAATTCCCAGGTAACCCAAATTTGAGAGAAATTGCTTTGCGTATCCACAGAACAATCCAATTTGAGTTTGGCAGAGCTCACCCATTATTATCTTTTCATAACCGGCCTTGGATAAGAGAGAGAATGGCGGAAGACACACTTCTTTTGATGTGCAAAAAGTGTTACGAATGAACAAGAGTCATCTGGTGGTCTTGTGGGCCTGCAAAACTCATCGAGGCCGATTAGCTCAGGAGATGCCTGCTTTATAAAACCACGAAACATTTCCCTGCGGCCAACGTAAAGGATGCTATTGTGCAGTGAATATTCATTTGTAAATAGCAGAGCAATCCATTATGGAAACCGGGAGACGCCGGCCCCATGCAGTCATGTACTCCAAAGTAATCCGTCTTTATTACTGTCTATCCAGGACTGATTGTTGGCAGCAACTACTGCTAGAAACCATCCAGAAGCTCTTTGGTGTGTATTAATAATCAGGGTTTGAACATGAGCGATACTGGAACCTTTACAGAGAAGATTCCTCATTCTGTGAACAGCAACTCATCAAGGTTAATTCCCCCCCCCATCGGATACTTTACGCAGTGTAATGTGTGCCAAGACACCACATTGGCTCAAGAAGACTGAATTCCAGCAGAGCACGAGCTGCTGTATGATTTGCAAAGATTTTGCATCCGGATTTGGTTTGTAGCAAACTATTGTCTGCGTGGAGACTGCAATGTAATATTATCTAAGACATTGGTACTTACTTCCAAGTAAATATACTGGGGGTATACTTACTCTATTATTGCTATTGGTGGTGTTTGATCTTCCGATTTATTTACCTCTTCATAGCCAGAAGCTACCAAGCTGTGTACAATAATAATAATTAAAAAAAACCTATAAAACTATAAAACCATTTCTACAATTAGTATTTCATAAAATTATTGGATCACACTCTTTCAAAGCCTTCTTTAAAGGAAAAAAATGAATATTCAGTAGCAAGCCACAATTCAATTGTCTAGCCTGCAATCCAATAGCCTTTCACAATGTGACTTACTTCTGAGTAGGCATGTTTAGGATTTCACTGTTAATTGCTATACTTTTGCTTTTACAGAGCCACTTGGACAGAAGTATGCCAATCTGGGATTTCATTATTCAACAGCATATTTTTTTTAAAAAGTTATTTGATAATAAAAATGGTTTTATTCAAAGCCATTTATCACAATAGAAATAATAGTGAAAATTACAGATGATTAGGATAAAAGGATGCTTGAGATACGAAGGAAGTAGAAAAGAAGAAAAGACACCAAATGAGAAGCTATTATCAGTGGATGAAAAGGTTGAAGGGGGAGATGCTTCCTGGTTGGGAAGGAGAAAGGAAGAGAAAGGAAGTGTTAAAGAAGGCTTCAGCATTAAATAAGTACTTTCCTTCAGTCTCTGCTTGAAATGAAAACAGCAAATGGATGCTCTGTGCTTCAGGGCACAAGGGGGGGAAATGAGAGGTCAGATGGCAGGAAAATTTGAAGTCACTTCACAGTGTCTAACTATATTTAATCACAGACATTTGCTTAAGTAGCATGAATAATAATAAAAAATTGGTCTTTAATTGGAAAGTATGTAAAGTTTCTAAAGAGCAAAAAAAAAAAAAACAAACACAAAAACTACTATGTCCACTTTAAGGCCTGTCTTAAAATTTCCACTTTGCTTTTAAAACTATATGAAACTGCTGTAAGGCATCATCCAGAGTTTTTGAGTTAAGTGCCATCAGTATGCTGAGGACGCTTGGCTCTATTTCTCCTGGTCTTCTAAATCAGGTGATGCTATGAGAGTGCCTGGAATTGGTAATGGACTGGGGAAGGTCCAATACAAGGAATCTGAATGCTGCCAAGATGGAAGTGCTATGAGTAGTTGGTCCTTATGTAGAGGGAGATGGTGCTGAACCTGCTTGAGGGGGAGGGGTCTACACTCTCCACAAATCACAGCCTGGGGGTACTCCTATAACCAGTCACTAGAAGAGACTACCCAGCATTTGTGAAAGCAAGTGCCTTTTATCAGCTACAGCTAGTTCTCCAGCTGCGGTAACTTCTCAACAAAGATAGTTTGGCCACGGCAGTGATCTATGTTCCTGCAATGTGTTATATATGGGACAGTCAGGAGCTGCCTAGATGAGGATAAATGGTGGGAGGCTACAGCCGGGGAACCACCAAAGAAGCATCAGAGGAGGAAGGCTCTGAGCCAGGAGACTGGTGGTAGGATACAGAAGACAGCTCAGGGGAAGGCGGAGGGGCAGACGGATTGGAGGCTGAGCAAGCAACAGGTCTAAGTGAGAAAGAAGCGGCTGAGGAGGAAGAACTGAGGCTATGACAGATCCACAGAAACCCGCCAGTTCCACTGTCTTCCTCTCCCCTCCTACTCTGCCCCCAAGAAGGAGGAGGGTGTTACATGTAGCAGAGCAAAAGGCACAGAGACACGCTCCTTGAAGGAGTTTGTTGGGAAGGAGTTTGCTGTGGAGGAGCCTTAGGTCCTGAGCTCAGATCCTCGGTCCTGGCAACTGCTTCTTCAGGCTAGTCCTGCCCGTGGAGTTCTCTGTTTGTAGTTTGTCTCTTTGAATAAATAATCAACTTTACTGCTCGTCTCTGAGTCCCTGTGCTGACCCGCAGCTGAACCAGCCCTGACTGGGACTGCACTTTAAAGGTGGTCTGAATGCTTCAGTTAATATGGAACAAAACTGCCAGAATTTTAACTGTCATGGCTTGCTTTGCTCATACGACACCTCCTTTTTCTAAGAGTGTTAATGGCTACCTATTCAGTTCTGGGCCAGATTCAAGGTGCTGTTGCATGCCTGCAAAACCTCAAATTGACTGGGACGCAGATACCTATTAACATATAGGGATGTGGGAAAGATCCGATTCAGTTTGCATTTCAATGTGAATTACCAGCTCCCAAAACAGTGTGCTACAAAACGTTTGTTTGTTTGTTGTTGTTGTTTTCACATTTTTGGCACAGCTCTTTAAATAAACTGAGTATAAACTAGGTTGGGGCATGGCAGAATTAAGTGTAGCCTTGCAGCAGTGGAGGTGTCTGCCCCCTCAAAAAAGAAAATCAATGAAAAGTTCACTAATGGCAAACCTAAATTGGAAAGGATAATCAAATGGAGAATGGAGGAACAGTCACTAGGCAAGGTACCTGAGGGAAGATCTTGGAGTTGTAATGGATGATCAAGTAAATATGAATTGACAATGTGAAGCGGTTGCAAAACTGACTAATGTTTTATTGAGCTGTCCTAGCAGCTGCCTCCTGTGTAAAACAAATGAGGTAATTATTCCATTAATCCTGACAATAGTTTGACCTTATTGAGAAACCCACATTCAGTTTTGGACAGAGCAATTAAAACAAAAAGATAATTGTAGGGAGTTAAATGGAAGACAAGAGAGAGAGAGAGAGAGAGGCTTAGAATGAGGAATGCAGACAATCGCCGAGCTGAGCATGGTAAATAAATTAAGAAAACAGGATAGTTGTTTGTGGGTGCTGAAAGAGGGGGTAAGAAAGAATTGTTTGGATTTGTCTGAGACATAAAAGAGGAAAGTCATGAACTTTTGAGCTCTTCATGGAATTTACAGCATGCAACACAAAAATCGCTACATAATCAAATATCTGTACAACATAAAAATAAAAACAATTATTGAAATAGTATCGTAATAACAAATTACATAATGAAATGCAGATGTTTGTAACAGCAGCAGCATAAAAAATAAAAAGTGAGAAAATCAGCATCAAGTGTGCTCATTGGTACAAAGTGCATGCTTTGATGGCTATAGAAACACATAAGGACCTAAGAAGAGCTTGCTAAATCAGGCCAATGGCTCCTCTACTTACAGGCATTGGCAAACTCGGCCCTCCCAATGTTTTGGGACTACAACTCCCATCATCCCTGACCACTGGTCCAGTTAGTTAGGGATGATGGGAGTTGTAGTCCCAAAAATCTGGAGGGCCGAGTTTGCCTATGCTTGCTCTAGTTCATCATTCTGCTCTCAAAGTAGCCAACCAGATGTCTATATGAAGCCTGCAAGCAGGACTGGAGTACAATATTATTCTGCCCACTTGCAATTTCCAGGAACTGGTATTCAGCGGTAGACGAAGAGCATAGTCATCATGGCCAGTAGCCATTGATGTCTTTCATGATTTGGACTCAAACTCCTTTAAAGCCGTCCAAGCTGGTGGGAGCCATTTCCACAGTTTAACTATATGACAAAGTATTGGGGACGGGAAGACAGGGACAGATCTTATTGGTGCTGAGCAGGAGGCAATTTTTCTGAGAAAACACATTTCCCTTCCCCCTCAATCCCATCAATAGAAATACTTCATATATTTGCTATCGTGTTTGTGTGTGGTGCTTTGTCCTCCACCCACCCACCATGGTCCACAATGATGCCAGGCCCAGAGTAATGGGGAGGATGTAGGGATCAGGTGGCGCTGTGGTCTAAACCACTGAGCCTCTTGGGCTTGCCAATCGAAAGATTGATAGTTCGAATCCGCTCAACGGTGGTGAGCTCCCATTCCCCTGTCCCAGCTTCTGCCAACCCAGCAATTCGAAAGCACATCAGTGCAAGTAGATAAATAGGTACCGCTGTGGCAGGAAGGTAAACAGCGTTTCTGTGCACTCTGGCACTTGTCACGGTGTTCCGTTGTGCCAGAAGCAGTTTAGTCATGCTGGCCACATGACCCGGAAAGCTGTCTGTGGAAAACGCTGGCCCCCCTGGCCTGAAGCAAAATGAGTGCCGCACCCCATAGTTGCCTTTGACTGGATGTAACCATCCAGGAGTCTTTTACCTTTACCTTATTGTGGAGGATGCAAACAAAACAGAGCAGCACCTTAGGGAAAAGGAAAAAAGCTGTGCTATTGCCACTGCTAAATGGAAGTGAGATCCCTGAGAAAATGTTGGAGAATTTATCCTCTTCCCTGGAGAAATTCATTGAAAATACCCCTTCAGTTTCTCTGTCCATAACTAGGATTTTGAGAAGCTATTTGCACCCTAACCAGAACCTAAATGTGATGCTTTAAATACATGATTTGATTGCTGACCTATAGCAGTCATAATGCTGCATACTTTGACCACTGCAGCCCCTAACACACAAATTTTCAATGACTTCTCCTGAGGAAGCTGTTTTTTTAAGACAAGAAAGAACGAGGAAAAAACCAGACAAATAAATAGTTTCCATTTTCTCTCTGCCTTGCTTCATTGGAAAGAGCAGGCTAAAAGGAAGCCAGCTGTGTGAATTCTAGTGGCAGGTGAATCAATGCTCTAGCACTCTGTAGGTCCCTGCCAATTGCTGTGATATTGATTGACTCCTAATCAATTGCTACTATGTGACTGCTGCATAATCAGCGAGTGTAAACAACATGTGTGTGGAGATATCTGGGACAAGGGAGGTGAGCGCAGCAGGGGGCGAGAGGAGATATGAACCAAGCCTCACATAGCCTATAATTAAACACAGCACAGTGCCCGTTAAAACAGGAAAGCACAATGGATATGAGGGTTACTGGGGAAAAGGTGGGCGGGGAATAAATTATCCAAACAGCTGTATGCATGTCTACTCAGAAGTAATTTAACAGGGCTTGCTCCTAGGTAAGTGTCTGAAGAATTGAAGCCTAAAAGTCCCAAGGGGGCTGCAGTCCTAAGCATCCTTTTGCCACGACATACATAACAGTGGGGCCTACCTTAGAGTAAACAGCATATGTACAAGCTGCTTTTTAGAGGGGTCTTCTGATACCTCTGTTGTGCCCTGACCTGAAATTCTACCACACCTCCAAATTACAGAATGTGCACACAGATTCATACAAACGCATCCATGGCAATGGGTCAAAGCAGCAGCTATTTGAATGAATTTTTGTTTTTATTTTTTGCTGGTGTCTGGATTTAGATCGGCCCATAATCTTTGGACTTCACTGTATGGGTTTTTGTTTATTTGTATGTTTGGGGTGATTTTTTTTCTGTTACTGAAGAAGGATGTGGTTTGATACAGACTTGTCTTGAAGTTAGTGTGTTCCAGGAATAGGAAACCTTCATTATGTCAAAATCGGCATTCTTTTTTGGGGGGTGCTCTCTCAGGGACTGGGGGTCGACAGGGCTGAAGTCAAATATATTTGGAGTGGTGCTAGCTGTGGGGTGGGGTGGGGGGCAACACTTTCCTCTCTGTGTCTCTCCTTCTCCTTCTTTCTCCCCTCTGTTCGCTCACTCTTTCCCATTTTGTTTCTCTGTTTGTGAAGCAGAGGGGGCAAGGTCTATGATATAACCACCACCCCCTTCTCTCCCCTGTATAACTTTGCTCTCCTCTGTCTCTCCCCCCCCACCATCTTAGGGATGGCAGGCTCACTCCCATCCCTCACTTGACCTTGGCTAGACACACAGTATCCCTGGCCTAAATCTTGGAAGCTACAACAAGGTATGTTTGGGGTGATATCAGGGGATATCAACTAGGAGCAGTGGTACAGCATAGGTTGCTGGCACCCAGGGTAGACAAGCTGCTTATGCCACCAGAATGTTCCCCCAGCCCCGAGCCAAACAGGGCTGCGTCACCTGCCTGCCTGTGCAAGGGGGAGCCCAGCCGCCCGCCAGGACCCTTGGCGGATGAATCCCCCCCAACGCCAACGGAAAGGATATAAAAAGAAAATTTTTGGATGTGGCTCACACCCCAACTCTTATCCCAGATTCTTTTTTAAAAAAACACCAAACTTTGCCATTCTCCACTGTCTCCCACCCAGGAAGGGCACAGTTTCATGCTAGATTTCACACTCCAGGGCATGAAATCAGTGCTGGATTTACATATACACTAAACAAGCTATAGCTTAGGGCCCCAGTCTCTTGGGGGCCCCCAAAAAAATTAAAGGAAAAAAAGTGAATGTACATTTCCAAAATATAAGATAAAAAACAAATAAAAATAAAACCTACATACAGCAACAGTGTGTTGTGTTGTGTTGTGTTGTGTTGTGTTGTGTTGACTCCTATGATGTATCCTGCTCCCTAAAATATCACCGGTTTGCTCATTTCTATATACAGTGGTACTGTACCTTGGTTCTCAAACTTAATCCGTTCCGGAAGTCTGTTCCAAAACCAAAGCGTTCCAAAACCAAGGCATGCTTTCCCATAGGAAGTAATGCAAAACGGATTAATACCTTCCAGACCTTTAGAAACAACCCCTAAGACAGCAATTTGTTGTTGACAAAGGACAGCTGGACATATAAAGGGCCCCATTACCTTCAGTAGCTTAGGGTCTCATCAAACCTAAATCCAGCCCTGCACGAAACTACTGCTCCAGACTTCTGGAAGTCTCACTCTGGACGTAACCTAGAGAAAAATATGACAGCCCCTACCCAAGAAAAACAACAACAAAATGACACAAAAGTGATGACCCCACCACATCCCCCGGTTATAACCCAAAGATGCAATTATCCTTTTGGGCCACTTCTGGCAGCAATGATACTCACTATCCTAGGGAGACTTGCCTTATGTCCTCAACTACGCAGCAAAAATGGAAGGCCTCCTGGGGAACTGCAGGGACTTAGGCAGATGGAATGCAGCCTCAGTAGAGCTTATTCCTGCTGTTGTAATATCACGAGCTTAATGTTCCTAGGTATTATGCAAAATAAAAAATAAAAAAATACCAGCTCCATGGAATATGTATGTAAAGCTTTGCTCTACTTCATTTTTGTGGCTTATACTATAGCAGAAACTCAATTTTGCAGGTGCTGTAATGACGAAAGACCAAAAACTGCAAAAAGAAAACAAAACCACCCTCTGTGCAAACAGTATATAAAGTATAATATAAATTTCCCTGCAAAATAAATGGTGTCTGATGTGCAAAAAAAATAAAAAGTAGGGAAATGTTCTGATAGCTACAGTTAAGATTTCAATATTTTCTTTTCCCCTCACTTTCTTCTGCACATAAAATCTGGGAACAGTAAGCAAAGAGAGGTTATCTGCCAGAGGCAAACATTCAATTTGCTCTAGTTTGTGAATCATTTCAACTGTAAAGAACTGCTGTTTAGCTATCCCCCCTGCTGAATGCTTTCAGAGACAGATGAAATTGAGCAAACTACCATTACTGCAGTCGAAGAGGTGTGCCTGTGTCTTACTGCTTTCAGTGGGAGACCTGGCATTTGATGGTCTTTGATCCTTCATGCCATGACAGCTAACATAAAGAGAAATGTGTGAATTTGGCAGAGAACATAACAATGCAGATGTAGGATGAGCTGACAAATGAAAATTTGGTTCAATGTGTCAGAGCACAGTGAAGAGAAGAACAAAACCAAAGGTGGCCCAATCATCCACTTGTCTTCCTCTGGTTGTATGAATCTTGCTTCTGAGATGCAGTTGCAGATCTTCCCAACTGGAACTTTTGTTTCGAAAAGTGTGGACAGTGGCTCACCTGGCTCTTGACTAGTTTCTAAGTGGAAAGGTGATAGATTAGATAGATAGATAGATAGATAGATAGATAGATAGATAGATAGATGATAGATAGATAGATAGATAGATAGATAGATGATAGATAGATAGATGATGATAGATAGATAGATAGATAGATAGATAGATAGATAGATAGATAGATGATAGATAGATAGATGATAGATAGATAGATAGATAGATAGATAGATAGATGATAGATAGATAGATAGATAGATAGATAGATAGATAGATAGATAGATAGATAGATGATAGATAGATAGATAGATAGATAGATAGATGATAGATAGATAGATAGATAGATGATAGATAGATAGATAGATAGATGATAGATAGATGATAAATAGATGATAGATAGATAGATGATAGATAGATGATAGGTAAAGGTAAAGGGACCCCTGACCATTAGGTCCAGTCGTGACCGACTCTGGGGTTGTGGCGCTAATCTCGCTTTATTGGCCGAGGGAGCCGGCGTACAGCTTCCGGGTCATGTAGCCAGCATGACTAAGCCGCTTTTGGTGAACCAGAGCAGCACACAGAAATGCTGTTTACCTTCCCGCCGGAGCGGTACCTATTTATCTACTTGCACTTTGACGTGCTTTCGAACTGCTAGGTGGCAGGAGCAGGGACCGAGCAATGGGAGCTCACCCCGTCATGGGGATTCGAACCGCTGACCTTCTGATCAGCAAGTTCTAGGCTCTGTGGTTTAACCCACAGCGCCACCCGCGTCCCTTAGATAGATGATAGATAGATATTTAGTCTTCCCATGTGGAAAGTTCCTTACCTTGGTAGTTTTCCTTGGCTTCTTTTGCAGCTGGAGGGTTTTACCTGTCATGGCAGCTCTCCCCGCTGTGAATAACAAATTCTTCCCTTCCTCCACTTACTTGAATCCTTTTTAGCCAATGTGATAAAACAGCAGGGGATAAAATGTTTTTAGTAAATAACTAAGTAAGATTAGTTTGTCAATTAAGTACAAGAATACTTTATCCACAGCTCCCAAACTCGTGGGCAGATCAGAATGTTGTTATCTTGTCCATTTAATTCTCCACTGGATTTTGCAATGCTCATTTTTTAAAAAAGGAAAGTACAGAAAATGTGTTTATAGATGTAAACTCTGAGGTAACATTTAGTTATAAATGCTTCTTTTGGGACACAGTGCATTCAGAAATGTGTATATTGAGATAAGATATGCTCAAAATGCAAACTGACATCTGAATGTGCATGTTTGTGAAGTTTTTTTTAAAAATGCAGATTAATTTGGATAGATGAAGGAAGAAGCATATGAATAAACACATGTGAAAATGACAGGGATAGGAAATAGTCTGAGTCATCATCCTGACTCATGTTTTCCCTCACTAGGCTGAAGTTGAGTGACAAATTGTCACAGCATATGCATATTATATTTTTCTTCAAACTGTTCCCCCCCCAACACTTGTTGGTATGAACCTTTTCCCCCCATAAGAACATAAAATGAGCCTGCTGGTTTAAACCAATGGCCAGTGATGTGAGGTTAGTGGACTAGGGGGCTAGGCAAGTCCCCTAATGTTCTGGGACAATTAGAGTATTAAAGTATTAAAGCCTGGCGCCTCCTTCCCTAAGCCTGGGCAGCTTCTGCCTGACTTAGGGAGGGAGGTGTGATGCTCCAACGGGGTCCAAGAGCCCTTCTGCCATCTTCCCAAAGCCCAACTGGCTTTGGGAAGGAGGCAGGGAGTTCCCAGCATTCTCTCAGAGGTCTGGAACTGCCTTCCCAAGCCTGGGAAGCTTCTGACCGGCTTAGAAATGGAAGCATGACTCTCATGCATGCAATGTCACAACGTCACGACATCACCCTTCCCCCCCCCTCCCCCCAATCGCCCTTGCCAGCTGGTGCCTCTGGCCATGTTTCCCTACGAAAAATTCACCACTCACCACTGCCAATGCCCCACCAAGTCCAGCATCCTGCTAGCTGGAGATAAGTGCAACAGCATCTGTGATTCCCAGCAACTGGTTTTCAGAGGCATAATAACTGAATAACTGATATCCAGCGCTGAGGGCCTTCTGGCGGTTCCCTCACTGCAAGAAGCCAAGTTACAGGGAACCAGGCAGAGGGCCTTCTCGGTAGTGGCAAGTGGCACCCGCCCTGTGGAATGCCCTCCCACCAGATGTCAAAGAGAACAACAACTACCAGACTTTTAGAAGACATCTGAAGGCAGCCCTGTTTAGGGAAGCTTTTAATGTTTGATGCATTACTGTATTTTAATATTTTGTTGGAGGCCGTCCAGAGTGGCTGGAGAGGCCCGGCCAGATGGGTGGGGTATAAATTATAAAAAGTATTATTATTATTATTATTATTATTATTATTATTATTAATCTGTTGTGTAATGGTGCTTAATGCCAGGTTTGGTGTCATTGTGACAATGCCTGGGGAAACCCAGCCAGATGGGTGGGGTATAGATAGATAGATAGATAGATAGATAGATAGATAGATTGACAGTGGAGGGAGAACCTAGCCCTCATGGCTAGTGGTACTCTGTGCATCATATTCTGCACCTGAGATTTGTCTGAGCCACTCAGGTGGCAGAATGGAAATATCCTTTTAGACTAGGCATGAGGAGCCTGTGGCCTTCTGGAAGTAGTATTCCTTACAAACTGGATTAAAATATAATCCATAAAATGCAATATAAAACTATCTACTCAGCAGCGATGCCAAAAAACACACACAAAAAGGCCAAAAGAAAAACCATCAGTAAACCGAGCAAAACCCCAATAGGCAACAGCATTTTGCATTAGCCCCTGAAGACCATAGAGACTCCCAAGTCCATTGAAAGGGATGGGGTCTGCCCAATGTTATGCAGCACTGAGCACCACAACTTTGGGGTCATTGCTGGGACAGGTGCTCCCACAGTGTTAAGCTTCTGATTTCCATTTCAAGCAAGGAAAATATCCTAGCAGCCTCTATGATCAGTATCTCTTGAAGAAAAGAATCCACATTTCCCTCAACCTGCTGCAGAAGAAGTTATTTTGTGACTTCAACCTAGATAACACACCATTTTATGTCACATATTTCTTCAGTCCATAAAGGAAGAGAGTCGTGAGCATCCTATGCAAGGATGCAACTATTTGTGTCGGAAGGCAATTGTGAACTAGAACTATAAGTTTCAACTGCCCCCAAGGGAAAGACACAATAGGGGAAAGGGCTTGTTTAGAGTGTTCAGCTAGAACCAGGGACACTCAGGTTCATATTCTTAACTCTGCCATGAAGTTTATTGGGAAGCAGTTCCAACTAGCCACCATCTCTCAGCCTTACCTACCTGACACAGATGCTGTGAGGATAAAATTGGAGCAAAGGAGAAAGATGTTTGTCCATGTAGATATGAAACAAGAATGCGAGGGAGCAGCTGGTCTGGTCCCAGTTTTTTTTAAAAAATAAACACAGCACAGTCCCAGCTGGCAGAAGATGATTGCTTATTCTGGCCAAAATAGATAAGAGTGCAACTTTTTCGAATGAATAATGCAAAATGTAAAAATCTGCTCAACATAGGAGGACGTCAGTCAGTCTCCCTTTGTACAATTTCAAGTCAAGGGCAGGATGATAAAGTGTCCAGTTTCTCTTCTTACCTTTTACAAATGGTAACAGCACTGCTGAATATGGGGAAAGCTTGCTGTGGGTTCCTACCTATTGGTTTTAGCGTGTGTATCCCTAACCACACCGGATAACATTTACTGATTGAATAGTAGATAACGTATAGGCTGATTGTGTATATGTTAGGCCAAAGATCCTGCATTGCAGTGGGACTAGATGACCCTCGTGGTCCCTTCCAACTTTACAAACCTTTGATTCTATATGACTACCTGAGATTATGTCTCAGTTAACTCTATGGGGCTCCCATCTGAGTAGACATATATGTTGTTGTTGTTTAGTTGTTTAGTCGTGTCCGGCTCTTTGTGACCCCATGGATCAGAGCATGCCAGGCACTCCTGTCTTCCACTGCCTCCTGCAGTTTGGTCAGACTCATGCTGGTAGCTTCGAGAACACTGTCCAACCATCTCGTCCTCTGTCATTCCCTTCTCCTTGTGTCTTTCCCAACATCAGGGTCTTTTCCAGGGAGTCTTCTCTTCTCATGAGGTGGCCCAAGTATTGGCGCCTCAGCTTCAGGATCTGTCCTTCCAGTGAGCACTCAGGGTTGATTTCCTTCAGAATGGAGAGGTTTGATCTTCTTGCAGTCCATGGGACTCTCAAAAGTCTCCTCCAGCACCATAATTCAAAAGCATCAATTCTGACTTCCGGGTTGGCGCCTCTGGCAATGGCGGATTTCCTCCGATCGGGAGGAATCCGCTCCGTGGAAAACAGGGTCTGAACCGCCACGGCGAGGCGGAGACCCATTAAAAACCACAGGCGGGAGAAGCCTGTGGACGTGGGATTCGGCCGGTACCTTCGCGCCCCCCCTACTCGCAGGGAAACCCAATTTCGGGGTTCCGGAGCGACGTGGGGTGAGTGGCGCGGTGCCTTGAATCGACTGCTTCTTTCACGGAGTGAAGCCGCATTGCTGTTGCCGGAGAGCGCTGACTTTTTCCTGTGGACAATTGGAGCTTAAATAACTGTCTGTGAGTAGAACGGAAAATTGGAATAAGAAATTTCCTTTAATTTGGCACTGAAGCGGAAAGGTATAAACAGGAAGTCTGCCTTCCGCTTTTTGTAAATAGATTGAAGCAAAGACACGGCAAGCTAGAGCTTAGAAAATCATTTGTAAAGGATCAATTTTCATCATTTAAAATTACTGAACCCCCCTTGGAAGCAGGAGAAGAGGGGGGAACTTTTTCTGGACTGATTAAACTTGCAGAAGATAAGTAAAGAAAAGCAATTCTCCACCGTCCTGAACCTGGAAGCGGGGTGTCAGGACAGATGTCTTCGGGAAGTTCATTGACTATAGACAAATGTTTTTGACAGATAGTTAAAAGAAGAGAAACATATTGATTCCATTGTTCCCCTTCGCATCTAAAAGCAACAAAATATTGACAAAATATCTGAAAAAGGAAACTTTGTTGTTAGATTTGCTTTTAAAAAAAGAGAGAGAGAGAGATGGATACAAATAGAAGCTTTTTCCCCTAGAGGGAGCTTGTGAAACTGTTATTAAATTCGAACTGGGGAGCTTTGCAGCTGCAATAGATTAAGATCGTGGGAAAAGACTCTGACCTTCAACAAGAATGTACTCGGAGGCTCTGGTGTTGGCTTTTGTAAGACAAGTGCTTTATTGGAACAGTTACATGAGAAGATGGATTTGATGACTGTTGGGATCGGAAAGTTTGGACAGGCAGTGGGTACTTATTTAGAACCCACTCAGGAATTAACTCAGGAGTGTGCTTTGACAGATCAGATGAGGGAGGAGGTTGTTGCTGGACCTAGTGAGGCAGAGATGGAGGGAACTGTGGCCCAGCAGGAACATGAGTTGTTGGACTTGACGAATGAACCTGGAGAAGACAGAGTTCTGTTTGGCTTGGAGATGGGGGGCTGGATAGACCCCCCTATGCAGGGATGTTTTGACCTTTCAAGTCTGGCTTTGGGCCGGGAGGTGCTCGGAGTTGTGCGGGCCCTTAACTTTGGAGGGACTTTGAAACATGCTTTTAAATACCATATGGAGTTCAGTGTTGACTTTGGAAAAGGGGCTGATCTGTCGAGAAGGGACAAAAACATTGTCAAGCTGGAGTCTCCCCGAGTGAAAGGAGCAGAAGACAAAGTAAAGCACAGGTATAAATATGAAGAAGATCTGCGGATGGGACATGGAAGAGATCCAAGGGCCTCGGATATAAGGTTACCAGGTTGATGGACTGGATGGATGGGATAGAAAGGACTGACAAAACCCGAGACCAGGGGAAAGAGACGTTGGATGAACATTGGAAGAAAGTTTTAAACAAATTATTTAGGAAAATCCTGTAAAAGTAAAGAGTATTAGAAAAATGTTGGAATGAAATTATTTGGCTTTAGCAGAAATGTTAAAAAGAATTATGTAAGAATATGTTATGGTTAAGAGAATTTGGTATAAATAAGATTTAAGTTTTAAGTTTTATGGCCTTTTATGGTAAGATAAGGTTAAAATAGATTAAGGTAATTTAATGACAGAATATTATGAAAGATGGAAAGGATTTGCTGAGATAATTAACAACTAGAATACAAAAAAGGGAGGTGTGAGGAGGTCGATGAAACAAGGTTATGACAGTTAATGATTTGGGAATATTGGATTTGTTTTAAAAAATTTTGTCTATTTTTGCTTTTTGATTTTGATGTATTATGTGTTTTGTTTTGTTTTCTCTTTTTGACCTTGTTTTTTTTTATTGATTCGTATTGTTTAAATGCTACTTGTTTTTTCCTCCCTTCTTTTTTTTTCTTTGTTTCTTTGTAATCTTAAAATTCTCAATAAAAAAAACAAGAGTTGACTCTTATGTCAACATTGCCAACAGGAAGAAAGAAAAAAAGCGCATCAATTCTTCAGCGATTAGCCTTCTTTATGGTCCAGCTCTCACTTTCATGCATCACTACTGGGAAAACCATAGCTTTAACTATACGGACCTTTGTTGGCAAGGTGATGTCTCTGCTTTTTAAGATGCTGAGACATATATAGGATTGCACAGATCTGTAATCTGTGGCGTGCAGTGGGGCTACAGAGGTAATTTGCCATCAAGCCTTATCAACTGTTTATCAACAACTAACATTGAAAGGTTTAAGCATTAAAGTTATCCTGCAAGGGTTTGGGGAAATGGATATGCATATTGACCTCTGGAGGAGATTATAGATACACACACACACACACACACACACACACACACACTATGATTACAGAAAACTTGGCTCTTGAGAGTACTTGGCACTGGCATTAGAAACAATTTGTGAATTTGACCATTGCTTAGAAATAGGGAACAAAAAATAGGGATGGAGAGAAGTGTGGTTTGCTTTGCTTTTAACATCAAGTTACCCAATTAACACTGCCTGAATCCATTTGCGATTCAAAACGCAATTGTCCTTGGCAATTTGCACCTCTCTGAATTTTTCAATGCAGCTCTCCAACCAGAAAAAAGGGAAAGTGTGCCTAAAAATGCATTTATTGGTGAAAATAGCATCCCCAGAAAAGTATTGTAATGGGGAAATTCCTTCAGGGGGAAGGTGTGCATTATGCAAGACAGCATACAAAAATGTTTGCATTGGGAGAAATGCACACAAAGAGACTGAAACATTTATGTGATGACATTTATATATTTTTAAAAAATTCAAATTGGTGCTGGAATGTGGCAAACTGAATTTAAGGCTGGAAACATTAGAGGCTGAAAGAAAGTGAAATTGACAGATTCACCCATCCCTAATGAAATGGAAGCATGACAGAGCTATAAATGGTTATCCTGTAGTTGTGAAAAAGAATCTGCATCAGTCAGAAGCATCAATTAACAGCACAGCTGAAAGCTTGGAAAGCTTTAGATATGCAGTTAGATATTCCTTTTTCAGACTTGCAAAACTTTATAAGCCATCAAACAGAATGCAACCCATGAGCTATGACCTGTCAGGTGCTTGCAACTCCTTTGGTTTTTCAAACGGCAGGGCTTATAGGAAGTAATTCAAGTCTTTCATACAGGGTTGGCCATCTATGTTTGGCTTGGTGAACAAGTTGTACAGGTCTGCCATATTGCATTTGGAAATATTCACCAACTTATGAAATAGAACCAGACAACCCTTCTCCTAGCATGCATACCTGAGCCGCTGGAACTGGGTATATTAATTCCGTACTTGAGAGTATGGATGAATGAATCAGTCTATTTCCAGACTAGGTTACTTTTGTCTGCACTCTCAAAACTTTAGTCTGACCTTAAAATAAACGTTTTGGGGTGGGGAGATGGTGGCTGCAGCTGGTGAAGGGTAAGTCCCCTTCCCTGAATTAATGATGAGTGGGTATGAATAAGATAAAAAAGAAACTTCACTAATCTCCATTCATTATTCATGGCTTTTGTTTTGCAGCACATGAAAATTAAACTGAAATACAGATCACCAGTTGTTGTTTTTAATTTCTTACAAAATGATTGCATGCCACAATCCACACACCCCCTCCAACATTTCTCCAATGAAAATAGGAACGTCCCATTGCATAGTAATAATTTTACTATTTATACCCCACACATCTGACTGGGTTGTCCTGCCACTCTGGTCAGCTTCCGACACACACACACACACACACATATATATAACACTATAAAACAGTAAACGTTTAAAAAACTTCCCTATACAGGGCTATCTTCAGATGGCTGAGGAGTCAGATTCCCGCCAACATTTCTCCAGTGAAAATAGGGACGTCCTCAGGAAAAGCAGGACTTTCAGGGATAAAATTAGCAACCGGGGTGGCTTCTGGAAATCAGGGGCTGTCCCTGGGAAATAGGAACATTTGGACGGTCTGTTCACATTCACCGTCAGAGGCAAGAAGAAGAAGAAGAAGAGTTTGGATTTGATATCCCGCCTTTCACTCCCTTGAAGGAGTCTCAAAGCGGCTAACATTCTCCTTTCCCTTCCTCCCCCACAACAAACACTCTGTGAGGTGAGTGGGATGAGAGACTTCAGAGAAGTGTGACTAGCCCAAGGTCACCCAGCAGCTGCAGGTGGAGAAACATCTGAATACTGCTTGCAGGGAATCACAAGGGAGGAGACTACTGTTGCACTCAGGTCCTTTGCTTCCCAAAGGCATCTGGTGGGCCACTGTGCAAACAGGATGCAGGACGAGACGAGCCTTTGATCCAATTCAGCTGGGCTGTATGCTTTGCTGTTTGCCCAGCACCATCTACTCCTCAATAAGGGTTGGCCAATGGTGGGAAAGGAGTTGGGGAAGGTTCTAATAAACCTTATGGAGATCCTCTAGGACACTGTTTCCCAAACTCGGGCCTCCAGCTGTTTTTGGACCACAACTTTCATCCTCCCTAGCTACCGGGAGCAGTGATCAAAGATGGTGGGAGTTGGAGTACAAAAACAGCTGGAGACCCAAGTTTGGGAAACACTGCTGTAAGGGGAAAATGCACACCTGCACATGTAGGCAGAAAGATGGTGCCCCAAATTAACAATTGCAAAAGATTTAGAGTGTCATGACTGGGGAGAGGGAAGAGAAACTCCTTTGAAAGCTAATAGAAACAGTTAAAACAACAGCAACTAACATCTAAGGTGGAAAATGATTATTTACCAATGGGGACAAATTGCTTTAAAGAACATTACAACAATATCTTACAACAAGCCTTTGTGATACATGGAGGGATTATTTATTAGCATGAGCACACAATCTAGGTCGAGAACAGGGTACCCTCCAGATGTTGTTGGACAAGAATCCCCGCCATCCCTGACAACTGGCAATGCTGGCCGGGGTTGATGGGAGTTGGAGTCTATCAACATTTCTTGGGCACCATGTTAGCTATTCCATATTAGCCTATAGTGCTGAAAGCCTCCTAAATCTGTCATCACAATTAGAAATGAAAAGTGAAAAGGGCTCAGATACCTTACGAGCAACAAGTTAGGATTGATGGTACGTGTGTGTGTGTGTGTGTGTGTGTGTGTGTGTGTGTGTTGCCATAAAATGTCTTTGTGCTCTTCCAGGGGTTTCTTTTTACATAAGTTTATTAAAAGGAAAAGCAAAGGGAACCCATCTATGTCTTCCACATGCAATTGTATGGGCTACACAAACATTTGATGCATTTGCATCACTCCCTGGGTAAAGATGCAACATTTTAATTTTTGCACATTACAAGAAGCGCTGAAAAGAAGACGGGGAAGTATATTTATGCACCCAATTTTGCTACTTCATTTGAAAACAGAAAGCAAGCCTACATATTACAGATCCACCCCTTTCAGTGGACTCTTACAACATTTCTCCATTTCGTAGAAGATGCCTCAAATCTAGCAACCAATTGACCAAGGCAGTCAATGTATTAGAATTTCTTGAGGTGGACATCTTTTTCTTCCAGGAAAATCCCTCCCTTCACCCTCCCAAATAAACCTTTCTGTGCACAAAATTGGGCATTTGAGCCCATGGTATTACAATCCATTATTGGCAATTATAGCTCTCCATCAGAAAGGACTTGTAGCCCATTGCTGCAGAGAAAAATGAAGCTGACAGTAAAAGTGAGGCAGTGCTGGATAATATCTTTGGTATCTTTTTCTGGCTTCAAGAAAAGTCATTTCCTTGTCTCTGCTTCTGAACAGTGCAACATTACTCTTCAGCACAAGGATATAAACTGCTAAGAAAAGGGCACTATTAGCACCCATTGAATGAATCACAAACTTGCGTTTGCCGGTGTGCCCGATAAGAGTGATGCCTTTGTCTCGCTTCATGTTCCACAATAGAGTTTCTCTTTAAAATAAAACAAAGCAAAACTGTAGCCATATGTGTGAATAGGTGGAGGGTGGTTTTTTTGGGGGGTGGGATAATGGGGTGTCCCCACATCCTGATTAAAAGGGATTGCAGTAAGGCCATCTTGCAGCTCATAGGCGGTAATTAATATGTCCTACTTCCTTCTGGGGGTGTGGCTGCTCACGAGCCAATTATGACTGGCGGTCAGCTTTCTCCTTAACGCCTTGAGTTGCTTCCCCCAGCAGCACTGTTGCCAGGACAGCAGCCTGGCAGCATCTCATAATTGGCTGCAGGGAACATCTTTTCCCCCACATTTGTCACCTTGTGAAGATCACTAAAGGTGAGCTGTTTTCGCATGCATTGGCTGCGGATTTTAGTAGGCATTGGCAGGTTCGTGGTGGATTAGCCAAGACTTATGCAGTCTTCCCTGCTGAGTAGGCTGAGTTATCTTAGTGGTGAAGAAGGGTGGCTTATGAAACCACCCCTCACATCTCTCTGGCTCATAGCAAGAGAGCTGTCCTTGGGCTCTGGTGGCATTACCCTTTCCAAAGGGGTGGGAGGAAGCTGTTACCTGCCTCCTCTGTACACAGGCAAAGGTAAACACAGCTCGGTCGGTAGACTGATTCAAGAATTATCGCTAGGATGCATTCATCCATTTATTTAAAAGGAGACAATAGAACGTCTGAGCTTGTGCTTTAAGTGTTAGGGAGCCGACACAGTTAGAACGAATTGTTTGAGAGAATTTGCTGCTTGTAGCGGATCCTGCAAGTTATAATAAAAATGTGGCCCTTGATTAAACCCACAAGCTGGCTTACGTCTTGAAGAGGGCACAGTTGTTTGTGTGAGGGCAAACAATTCTTTGAATGACCAGAACATTTGCTAAATTTTATTGGACGAAGCCTAGGGCAGATTGACAAAAGCTTACAGTTTTAAGCCTGGCACAAGGATACACAAGAAAATTACCCATACAGCAAACACCACCCCTCAAATCCAAATAACATTTTGCATTATCCAATACATTTTGCTACAGGAAAGCTTTAAAATAAAGAACCTACACAGTGTACCATATTGCTTCTGCAGATGTTCTTGAGGCTCTCGTCTGACATAACTGCAAAAGAAGAAAGCAACAAAATAGTGGCATTCTGTTGAATAGAACTATTGAAGAGAAGTGACTTGCTAACAGAGAGTAAATTACATTTCTTTAAAAGGAATATGAAAAATGACAAAGGAGAGCTGCCACAGAAAAGCAGTTTTTTTGTTTATGAAGAGTAGGTATGGCATCTGAAACGGGAGCCAGCTATATGCAACAATGTTGTTGCTGCTGTTTTCTAAATTGAGATCAAACCTTATTGGTGACACTGATGCTATGCTGGGGTTCCAACAACGAGCCATATTTTAGAATATAATGTGTTGCTAAATGAAAGTAATGGGAAGGACCATAGCTCAGCAGTAGAGCATCTGCTTTGCATGCAGAAGGGCCTAGATTCAATTCCCAACACATGGCTTGGAGTGTTTCCTGGCTGAAACCCTGGACAGCTACTTCCAAGTAGCCTAGACAATGCTGAACTAGATGGAATGGCTAGTATGGTAGGGCAGGGACACCCTCCTGGCACTATAGCACAGTGGTCACCAACCCACTTCCTGCGAGCCCCCACAAAAACCCTCATTGGTAGCCTCAGGCAACGACCCCAGACTCTGAGCTTTCATTTTTGGGGAAAAGTAAGTCTCTAGCCTTCCTAGAAAGAAAGTTATGAATCAGAATGGCAGATGAAGTTGATGGACTATATGGAATTGGCGGAAATGACTGGCAGAATCCGAGACCAGGGAGAAGAGGTGGTGGAAGAAGATTGGAAAAAATTTAAAGATTATTTACAGAAATACTGTAAAATCAATGAATGTTAGAAAAATGTTGGAATGAAGTTACATGGCTTTAGTAGAAATGTTATAAGGAATTAAGTATAAATAGATTAATAGAGTATTAAAGGAAAAAATAAGGTTAGAATGAGTTAAGATAATTATAGGATAGAAAACAGAGGAAGATAGAAAGGAATTGCTGAAATAATTAACAGAAGTGGAATACAAAAAGGGAGGTGTGAGGAGGTCGTGGAAATAAGTGAATGAAAGATGGGATAATGAAATTGTTTGATTTATTTTATTTTTTGTTTTGTTTTGTTAGTTTAATGTATTGTATTGTTTTTCTTTTTTAGTGTTTAAATTTTTTGGAAAAGTAATAAATATTATTTTTTAAAAAAAGAAAGAAAGTTATGAATCAAAATGTGCGGGTACATTTGGGTAAAATGACCCAGCCTGGCTGTTCCTGCCTGTTGGTGCTCTTAGACAATGAATGAAATCAGAGCTGTAATTGATTTGTTTGGACACAAAGCAGTAGAAATTGCTGGGTTTCTAAAAAGCTTTCGTTTCTGCCTCCATGCTACTGCACTTTTCCTGATTCTGTCTTATTTTCTAGTAATCTTTGAAATCTCTGTCATTTACCCTTTTCCTCTAGCAACAAGGGTTGCATCTACACTGACCAGTTTTATATTATTTCCCCCTATTGGAATGATATTAGATAAGTTATTCTAAAATGTCACAGGGCATACTTGTTAATTAAAACGTTTTTTGCCTTGTCCCCCCCCCCCCCCGTCCCCGTCAAGTGAAAGTAATACCCGGCCACACCATTTTGCAAAACGCTGTTTCTTTCCCTGCTGGTGGTCACTAGTTGCTCTGCTCTGCCCTCTGATGTCACATTTTAATTCTTCCTCCCTGTCTCCCTCCATGTCCTTTGTTATCCATGCATACATAGGGACACATGAGTAGTGTTTCACCGATATAGCAGGATAAAATGATTATGAACGTGCGTCTCCACCCCCATCATTCTGCCCAAACACCGAGGTTCAGCTCTGAGGGCCTTCTGGTGGTTCCCTCACTGCGAGAACAGGCAGCCCTGTTTAGCGAAGTTTTTAATATTTGATGTTTTATTCTGTTTTTAATCTGTTGGGAGCCACCCAGAGTGGCTGGGGAAACCCAGCCGGATGGGTGGGGTATAAATAAATAAATATATTATTGTTGTTATTGTTATTATTAAAATTAAGCGATAAAAAGGCAAGGTAATAACACATTATGAATGTAAAAAGTCGGATGTCATGTATCCATGTACATTATCAAAACCGTTCCTTAACGTTAAAAACCATGAGTGTAGATCTGCCCCAGCATGCTTCTTTCCTGTGGTGGGTGACATTTGCTGTCACTTACCAGGATGCTATGGGGGCAGCCCAGGTTGGCAGTGAGATCAGACCTGCACAGGCTTATCAGTGAAGCTAATCCAGTGCAACCCGAAGCTCACTGCTATCACCCCACTACACTCCACCCTGGTAAGCAGCAGTGATGTTGAGAGGGCAGTAGTCACTACTGTGCAATCCCCATGCATGAGCTGCTTAATGAATCCTTTTTTTAGAGAAAGTCATTATGAGTTCCACCCACCGACCGAAAGACAAGACAGCATGCTTGGGCACTGGCTGAAGGTCTTGAGGAGTAATTCTAGCAATTTCCTGGGAAACCTGCAACCAGAAACCTGCCACAGCTTCACAGCTCCACCCCATCTGCATTTCGAGATAGCAAAAAGCTCAAACCCAGGAAAGTGGTAGCTTTAAAAGATGGCAATCCCATTGTTTTTGAAAGGAAAGTGAAGGTTTTTCTGTCTCGCTATTCATACAAATGTTCATCTTAATGTTGAAATGGTGCACACTCCTCAGGGGAGAGTCAGAAAGCACGGTATTATTTAATTTCACTCACAAAACTCAATTATTCCCCATCCAAGTTTGCTGATAGCTGGAGGTATTAAACAACCGGGTTCAAAGAAGCGAATGCCTCTGCAAGAATATCAATTCATTTTGTATGCTGGTAAGCAGATTTGTTCTTTCTGCCTGTATGTTAATGTACACAAGAGACCAGCTCCCGGGGCTTAGGGGACATTGCTAATTAATTTGCTAATCAATGCCATGGACTTTTGTGACCTAACATGCAGGAGAGGGGAAAGGAAGTGCATGGCTATGTTTAATATTCATTCCTTTTAAAATAGGCAGATATCACTCCCTTTAGATTACTAGATATAAAACTCTATTTAAAAAATAATAATGCTAAATACAAGTTTAACTACTGAGGATCTGGCTGGTCACTGTGAGAACAGAACTTTGGACTAGCTGGACACTGCAGCTAGTTCTTTGCATCACCCTTCCTGTTCGTGCCAGTTCTGTTTTATTTCTGTTTGTCCTTGTCTTGAAAACTTACCACACTGCTCTTTGCAGGGGAGGGCTCTGCTGAACATTTTGCACTTTCAGCTTGAAATGAACCACTTTAGACAGAAAAATGCCTCCTAAATGGTGCTACTGGCTATTTTTCTTCTGCTTGGGTTCTTTGGTTCCAGCCCTTAATTACTGCCATTTGACTAAACATTTATGTTGACTTTGAACAACTTCCCCAAAGTGTGTGACATGGCCCTGATGAGTGATTTGAAAATTGTATTTTGTTTGTGACATTGTGTCCTCTCTTCCCTTCATGGGCAGGCCTGTGATCCAAGCACTGTCCAGACTCAGCTCTGCTTAGCTTCAGAAAAGTTAGAGCATGATGTACCTTAAGACCACAAAACTGACCGTTAGGTCCAGTCGTGACCGACTCTGGGGTTGCAGCGCTCATCTCGCTTTATTGGCTGAGGGAGCCGGTGTACAGCTTCCGGGTCATGTGGCCAGCATGACTAAGCTGCTTCTTGCAAACCAGAGCAGCGCACGGAAACACCGTTTACCTTCCCGCTGGAACGGTACCTATTTATCTACTTGCACTTTGACATGCTTTTGAACTGCTAGGTTGGCAGGAGCAGGGACCGAGCAACAGGAGCTCACCCCGTCGTGGGGATTCGAACCGCTGACCTTCTGATCGGCAAGCCCTAGGTTCTGTGGTTTAGACCACAGTGCCACCCACATCCCATGTTTTTTAAAATTATTATTATTATTATTATTATTATTAGGAATTCATCTCAAAACTACAGAGTTGATATAAATTGGGAACAAACTATTATGGAGCATTATAGGTGCTGACCTGAAATATGGCAGGGGGAGGGGATATTTTAAAGTAGCACCAAACCTGGAGGAAAGATTGTTTTCACATAAGACATATGGAATGTCTCCATTTGACTATAACCTCTTACATACTGACCAAGGAAACGTTATCAACACAGAAATAGCATCACCACCTTCAAGGTTTTTGAAGCTGAGGTAGTGCAGAAATTAGCATATATTATCATGGGCCTCTTTGATGTGGTTTCAAAGCGGAAATATCTGTAGGCATACATAATAGCGCATCTCGAAGTCAGATATAAGATGGTTAGTAATCAATACTCTCTGTGTATTAAAATGTCAAGTTATTTTTCATGCCTACCGTTTAGAGTCTCAATCACACAAAATGCAGTCCTTTTCTTTTTTTCAAGTGCTGTGGGCAGAAGATACCTTTTAAGGGGAAAATCCTGGGCTTTATTTTCCTTTTGCTGAACAAACATGAAAAAGCTTGATATACCTAAGATAAATTAGAGGCTGAGCTCGATGACAGATTTAAATTTGGAGACATACATATTCAAGCTAACCATCATACATTCTCAAAAGTGGCTCTTTTGCAAAATGTGTGACAGATCTTTATTGACAAAAGAAGGACTACAGTAAATTGGTTGTGTCATTCCATTGCCAAGATTGTAGTAAAGAGTAAAGATGGAGCCACAGCTTCATCTTCAGCCTGCAGATTCTATAGGATATGAGAGAAAGATTTGTCTTGCACGTATCTCTTTTCCATTCAGAAATCATCTGGTCTGATCAGTCCCGTATGTGTGTGTATGTGCATGCATGTGCATGCATGCATGGTGTGCTCTCCTTTAAGCCAATCCTGTGTTTCACCACAGGTAGAATCCATATGTCATGAGGGCAGCATGAATTGGATTGAAGCAAATGAGTCCAGGGTTGCTGAGTTCCTGTCCTGTTTTATGTCTTTAGACACAATGTTGTTGGACTCTAACTCCTATCATTCCAAAGCAATGAAGGTACAAACACGTTATCTTCTAGATTAAGGAGAGATAAATACAGTGGTACCTTGGTTCTCAAATGCCTTGGTACTCAAATGCCTTGGTTCCCAAACACCGAAACCAGGAAGTAAGTGTTCCAGTTTTCAAACGTTTTTCAGAAGCGAAACGTCCAATGTGGCTATCAGCTATTGTTTCTGGGGCACCTGCACCAGTCAGAAGCCGCACCTTGGTTTTTGAACATTTCGGAAGTCAAACAGACTTCCGGAACAGATTAAGTTTGGCACTTTTGTTTTTGCTATTTATTTTCCATTTTTGTTTTTGAGGCTTTTTCGGTTAATTTGTTTTTGTGATTGTGTGGAACCCAGTTCAGCTACTGATTGATTGAGTGTGTGACTGTGGAAATGGATAAAAGCCCCCCATCCAAACAATGACAGTGCAGGTAAGAAA